CGAAGGAAGCTAAGTGTCTTTTCTCTCCCAAAAGACTCGACGGCGCCGGAGCCCTCGAACAAAGTTCACACAGAGAGCAGAGCGAGACAGAGAGCGAGGTGCAGGGAGGCGGATAGAGAAAGAGCGAGGGGGGGGGAGTTTCTTTCCATCAGTTAATACCTTCCAACTTTTCTCTAGCGGGGGCGCGCGCGCGGGGGCCGCCGGGCAGCGGGCGCGGGCGGCCAGGTACTGTCGGCCTAATGAAAAGTGCTTGCGATCACGCCAAGTTACGCCCGCCGGTCCTGGCGGGGGCGGGACGGGGCGGGCCAGGGCGGCCCCGCTGTTACTCCCTGTGCATTTCATTAGGTGGCCGCCAGTCTCACTCAGACGCACAAGATGTTCCCCTGATTCTTTGTTTCGAGTCTGTGCTGACAGAGAGATCAGAGGGCAGCAATCGCGGATGTTATTTGGCGGTGGCTTTAGTAAGCGGCCGATATAGTAATAGGTCGTCCAAATGGATCCATCAACTAATGAAAGTATTTCGGAGTGCTGAGACGTGTAACAATGTAACACATTGGGAATGCCGCATAGTCTTGAAAGTGATCAGATAAAACCAAGTGACTCCGCGCCGTTCTATGTAACTGTACCGTGGGGGACACCTCGTAAACTATTGGAGGGGAGTGAATTCACATACTCTTAGAGATGAGTAAGACGCGATTCGCACACTTGTAAAGTTTAGATATAGCCATAGCCTAACAAAGCAGACAGTCAACTCACCGTTATTTTGAAGTCATGCGGGTCGCAGGTGTCGTATTTCCGCCGAAACCTTAGGACAGTGTGAGTGCCATTTTCGTATCCCAATAACTGTTCGTAATCTTGACTAGAATCCACTTCGGGCTCGTAGCGGTCGACTGCGTGGCGGTCCTGAAACCAGAGATAGACAACGTTAGAAGGGGGTTGTAAAAACGCTTTTAACACGAGGTATGGGTAAGTAAAGAGGCGGGAGAAACAAATATCTCTTAACGAAGGTAATTTGCAGCCTCGAACAGAAGTATTGCAAAAAGAAGCAAAACAAGAAAAAGTGTGTAATAAATCGAATTAGGACAACTCGGGAACATCTTACAGACACCGATTAACAGAAGCTACGTCAATGACAAGCACTACTGTTTGAAATCGTCACAACGTCGCGCCAGTAACACCGTGGATTTAACGCTGGTGCCCCGGCTGGAGATGTATTTTTTACGGCCTCCAGGGGGATTCATCCGCCTTCTGCGGAACCGATCCGATTCAAGGCGGGCTAGGAAAAGTGTCTCTATATCCAACTCCACCTCTCTCTGTCCCTCTCTCCAGCTCTTAGAGTCAGGTGGGACAAAGACAGAGGGAGGGAGGCACGATAAAGGAAGGAAAAGACAGAGATAAATGGATGGGTAAAACGCGGGAGAGGGAGAGGGAGAGGGAGAGGGAGAGGGAGAGAGAGAGAGGGAGAGAGAGAGAGAGGCGAAGGGGCCACCCCGGTGGGGACATGATCCCTTTCAAGGCATACCATACCATTCAGTCCGCCTTTTATTGCACAGACCGAACGTCTCACATTACAATGGCTTCATTTGCGATTCTCTGGCCGGGCCACGACTCTTCTCTCCTCGCACACGCCCCTCCCTTCCTCCCTCTCCTGTTTTCTAGGAACGGGAGGCGAGGAAGAGGAGAGAACAGAGATAACCTCTGTAAAAGATTTTATTGCGCAGTGATGACGGACTCGAGAGCCAATGGCAATGCGATTATGACCGGGGATCAGCGGGGTATAGCGCCTGCAGCGCCAGGGACTCGTGTATGCGGTGCAACGAGCAATTGCAAAAATAACAAAAACAAGCACAGCGCCATACCACACCCCATTTTTTGTATGTCTTTTAAAAAAACTAGTCAGTGCGTGTATCCTGGTTAAATCGGGAAAAATAGAGAGAAATAAGGGCATTAATTAATCCATTAGTGGTAAGGGGTCGAAGCGGCGATTTTCACAGAGCAGAGTACGCCGAGCCACGCAAACGGCCGGCATGCGATCCAGAGCTCCAAGCATTCCACACGCGCAGGCCGCGGGGACCGCACTGTGCGAGAGAAAGAGACAGGGAGACACAGT